GCGTCACATTCATTGAAACCCCTGTTTGCATGAGTTATGTAACTATATTAAAGCGGTAAACACGTCCAGGATTCTAAATGGAGTACGGTACCTTTCTACCTCACCTGTAACGACACATTGTCGTACCCATCGCCATTCGTAGTTGCTCGTTTTCAAAGGTCAAACCTAACCAGAGTAGTAAAAGGAAAAAACGACAGCTGTAAATGTTAGAATGTCTGTCTTCTTTACATTTTCATGATGAGGCCATTACTGGGGCCCTAGTTTTAAAGAAATTAATGGTGGAACACTGTGCTGCATCTCCATGCCACCTGCCAGGACGGCGTTATTTGAAACGCAGAGACGACAGCAGCGATGTGGCAAGCCAAGTGGCGCTCTTCACTCTTTTATCGGTCTCAGAGGGAAGAAAGGCAAATGATGACCCCCGGCCGAAACTCGAACCCGGGTACTCTCGGTTTTGAACCGACTCTTTACCGACTAAGTAATCGCAATCTAGAACAATACAGTCGAATATTTTCCGATTACATTTACTGACCACTCGACATAGAAATGTAACCTGCGGTCGTGCGGAAGTCTCGTTTGGATGCTACAGTGATGGTGCCACCAGGATCATCTGCGGAATTTTCAATCTAATGAGGAAAAGTACTTTGGGGTAGAAGTAAAAGAGCATACTGCTTCATTGTTCCCTATTCGTGTATGACCGAGGTCGGCAGTTTGCACTAATCTTCACTGAATTTGTAATCAATAAAATAACTTTCTGGGAAAAGTTGCTTCAAGGAAATGAAGAACCTTCGTATCTTTGGCTACCACTGCCTGGCTAGTTGAGCCTTTCGAATTCATGAAAAGCCTTCATGATCAGAGTGTAGTTGGATCTTCAACGCACAATGCTTGTTATTTGCTCTCTCAACGTACAGATGATGATATCTGCTGAAGATGAGAGTATTTTACTAAAGCAATGCTCTTGACATGTGATCGAAAGTAAGACTGAGTAGGATAATAGTGAACTTATAATGAGAAAATATGACCAATAATAAAAGAATCTTGTTTGGAGTATTGTTCCAAGCTATGTACTTCCTCAACTGATGATTAGCTAGTTCCTTTTGGATTAAGTCATATGAAACGGGAGGCTGAATAGTAATATGCATCTGGAACAGCTGCCTTAAATTCTGACGAAGAGTTTCAAATTTCCTACCC